TTTTCATGTACTGGTTTTGTTTAATGACTAACCAGGACTTATTCCCTGAAAACAGTACTGTACTGGTAAAATCAGTACGAATGGTCACCTTAGTCTATGGTGATACCTCAACTTAAAGCTACAATTAATATTACCAACCAAAGATTTTTTGGAACTAGTTTGATATTTTTGCGGTTATACATAGGTATACAATTATCATACCGGTTCAACATAAAATAAAAAAAAGAATTTGTTGAATATTTGAATACATGAAAATATTTGAATGGCTGTATTATCCTATAAATGTAGGGCAGCAGCTGCTCTAGTCAATTTGATATATAATAGAATTTCTTGCTCTACTAGATTTCAGTAAGACATTCGAGATCTTAAACCATCGTCTGCTGATTTCAAAATGTTCTTTTATGGCTTCGAAGCCGCATAATTAAACTTATTATAACGTATTTGGCTAACCAAGACCCCCGTTCGTAAAATTAGATCTTAGGAGCTCGGTTTTAGGGCCTCAAATATTTATACTGTACTTACATTTCTGACTTGCATAAAGTCATCTAAAGTTGTTCCACTAGTTTGAAATAAAAGACATGTGTACTTATGAAGCTGCTCAGTTATGATTCGAGGTAAAATTAGTTATTTTTCCATTAAACGTAACATACACATAAATCCGACCAAATTAAAATGGATTATTTGTAGTAATTAATTCTCTAAAGAATTAAATAAGAAAACCCAAGCTATTCTGTTAGTCTCGTTATGTCTAAAAATAGTGCAAGAAAAATGGAAAACAAAGGACCCCGCAGGTTTCTTATGGAAATTGGGTTTTGGTGGATTTTTTAAAATTTTTGATATGATGTAGTCCATGTCATTCTCAACAAATGTTACCATTGCGCCAACCCCTAAAAATGAACAATTTGTCTGCTTGGGGGCGTTAAAATCACCCATTTTTAAAAATAGACCATTTATTTTGAAAGCCTGGAAAAATATATTTGCAAGTTTTATTTTAGGTTATGCTATATATAGTATTGTACTTTTTATTTAAAAAAAATCTAACCGACCCCCAGTACCCCCCAACCTCCCCCTACCCCAGTTTTCAAAATATTATCTTGGGTACTTCTAAATGCATTGCTAAATGTTTTAATAAGTTTAAATTAAGGTAACCACGCTTTTTAAAATTATCCCCCCAACTGGGGGGGGGGGGAGGCTATAACAAAAAATATCGGTGGATTTGGCTGAATTTTTAGTATGATGTAGTCTATGTTGTTGTGAATCGAAATTAATTGGGTCACAAACTCCAAAAATGAACAGTTTTGCTGCTAGGAGGCTCTAAAATCACCGTTGTCTCAAAATAGACCACCTATTTTGAAAGCCTGGGAAAATGTATTTACATATTTTATTTTAGGTTATGCTATATAGTATTGTGCTTTTTATTTTAAAAATATCTAACTGCTCCCCCACTACCCCCCCCCCCCCCCCCGACCTCCCCTTGACCCAATTTTCAAAATATTATTCTGGGTACTTTTAAATAAAAATAAATTGGTTGACAAACTCTAAAAATAAACAGTTTATTTATTTCTTATAAAACTAATTCTATACTCCCTCATATTCCCCCCTTCGCCTGTTTAAAAAAGCAAAAAATGGATGTATAAGCTTAATTAGAAAAATCTATATTTTAATTATCATCCAATCGTGGAGGGAGGGACACAACAAAAAATAATTAGATATTCTGCTACAGAACATAACAGCCCCACTTTTCTTTTAAATATCTCATTCAATTGCAATTGTATTTTCAGGGTAAAATGATCCAAAATTAGGGGTTCTCTGGTAAACATTGAGAACGTACGTTTACCAAATATTTCAATTAAATCAAATGCATAACTATCAACAATATTTTTTAGTATGATAGTAATAGGCGGATATGGACAATATTTTTGACATTAATTGTCAAACTTATACATTGGCTTTCTGACATTAATATTAATAATTGTTGTGCTTTGTTGTCCTTTTTTGTGTTGTTGTACGATATATTGTGTTTTTGTATATTTGTTTACTGTTGATATTATTATAATGGCTTACCAAAATCGAGAAGCTTGCTACGTATGCGAAAGACTTTTTCGCCCAGCGCAACTTTCACGTATGGATGGAGAAGAAAATGTAAATAAACGCAAAATAGCAGTTATTCGGCGAAATGCTGAAAACAGACGCCTTTGCATTAATTGCAATCGATCTATTAATCAAGAATTGATAGACGTAGAAAATAATCCGTTCTGTCTAAGACTCAACGTTTTAAGTCAAACAAATAATTCTACTTGCTTTGTTTGTGATGAAGTAAATGACATTCATAGACTTTCTGTTGAATGTAGAGTTGATGCATTTATTAGAACTAATAGGTATTTACATTTCTGAAGATGTAAAATCATGTCAGGCACATTTGGACGATAAATCCTGTATCCTAAAGATTCTTCTTCCTGGTTTGCGTTACGTAAATAGACCTTGTGTTCTTAAAGGTACTCAAATACAATATTTTTTACAGCAAATGCGAAAAACTGTAAACACTTTTTCTGAAAACATGTATAGTAATGAAGACTGTTGCAGTGATGAAGAGTTCCAAAAAACTTTTTCTGTGACAAAAGAACAATTTAGGGAATTGTATACATTTTGTGATAAAAAAATCCACTTTTCTTTTTTTCCTTATGATTGTAACAGCACCTATATAAGATCCTTTGAGAATTGGGGTAGGGGGAGATCGGGGGGGTAGTGCGGGGCGGTTAGATATTTTTAAAATAAAAAGCACAATACTATATAGCATAACCTAAAATAAAATATGTAAATACATTTTCCCAAGCTTTCAAAATAGGTGGTCTATTTTGAGGCAACGGTGACTTTAGAGCCTCCTAGCAGCCAAACTGTTCATTTTTGGAGTTTGTGACCCAATTAATTTCTATTCAAAACAACATAGACTACATCATACTAAAAATTCAGCCAAATCCACCGATATTTTTTGTTATAGCCTCCCCCCTCCAGTTGGGGGGATAATTTTAAAAAGCGCGGTTACCTTAATTTTAACTTATTAAAACATTTGACAATGCATTTAAAAGTACCCAAGATAATATTTTGAAAACTGGGGTAGGGGGAGGTTGGGGGTAGTGGGGGGCGGTTAGATTTTTTTAAAATAAAAAGTACAATACGATATATAGCATAACCTAAAATAAAACTTGCAAATATATTTTTCCAGGCTTTCAAAATAAATGGTCTATTTTTAAAAATGGGTGATTTTAACGCCCCCAAGCAGACAAATTGTTCATTTATAGGGGTTGGCACAATGGTAACATTTGTTGAGAATGACATGGACTACATCATATCAAAAATTTAAAAAATCCACCGAAACCCAATTTCCATAAGAAACCTGCGGGGTCCTTTATTTATTACCAGGCTTTAGAGATCATGTAGAATATTTTAGTAATTTATGTTAATCTTATTTCTTAGTATAAAAATTTTATATTTATTCATTCCACTTGATATCCTATATTGGTATTGAGTAGAACAGCTAAGATGGATTTCACTGAAGATTATAAAATAAATACCATTTTATTATTACCTAGGGTGACCAGATTTATTTGCAGAAAAGTAGGACAACCAGGACAAAAAAAGCCTGATTTTTAAAAAAAAAACCTGACATTTAACAAATATATTTATATAAAAAAATGTAACAATTTTTATTTAGGTAAAAACTACTTATACTTTTCAGAAGAACCAATTTCTTTTAAAATATTGGGATTGTCCATCAAATAATTATAATATTCCTAACAAGAAATTTTTAAATTAAATTTTAACATGAGGCTTTTTATTGATTCGATAGATAAACGGTTTCTTTCTTTGGTCTACTGCGATTAAAGAAAAAATTCTCACGACGGCAGCATTATGTGCCGGAATAGCAAAGTAGAATTCACAAATTTTAAGTAAGACTACTTTTTATCTAAAGATAATGATAAAAATTCCTCATTTTAAATCTTTGTTGTCAAACTGTATTTTAATAAAATGATTTCATCAATTTTCGATTGATAAAAAGCCGGACATGACAAAAAGCCAGCCTGACGTTTTCATTTAAGCGAAAAAGCCGGCTTTATCCTGACGTCTGGTCACCCTATATTACCTTTATATGTTTAGGTAAAGTAATTATATTCTAATTTGCTTGTGGTATAATTAAACATAAAAAATCACTAATTTTAACTAAATCAGTATTGGAATAATTTATTCACAGAAATTGTATATTACGTTTTTTTTTAATAAAAATCTGTTTCCACTTCTTTTTTATTATTACAAAGTTGTATAAAATTAGTCTTCTTTACAATTTAAAAAATAAAATTGTTGGCAAGTTTAAGTGTAGAAGGGGAAATATAAAATGACCATTTTTCTATTCAAAATTTATTGTATTTAAAATTCATGTATAAATGCCAGAAATAAAAAATGGAAGTCATTTGACAAAAAAATTAATTATAAAAAATACAAAGTATAAGTTATGAAGGAAGGAGTTCATGTAGCTGCTCATTACCAATAGCTATCATCCTTAACTTTTTGAAAAATAGATAACTCAAGATTTTAAATCTATCTTAGCAATATTAAAAATATTTTTTCATAAAATCATTACTGTTCTTCAATGCAACTAAAGAAAAAAAATATGGAACTCTTGTAGACGCTAAAATGATGCTTTGATATTATTTCATTTTGACTGTCAATTAGTTCTTGTAAAATATACTCATTGAAAAAATTAACAGATATTTTTCTCATCAAAAACATGTTATTAAGCCTGCAACATACTTTACATTAAAGTCGGAATTTACTAAAATTAATTGTATTTTAAAATAAGTCTTGATAATTACAATTAACAAAAATTCTTGTCGAGGTGTTTCAACAATAATATGGTTAGTAAAAACAAACACACTAAAATGAAAACTTTATTGAATACTTTTAAGATAAAATACTTCTTAAATTATACTTATTAAAAAACTATTTCACAGATCTTCAAAGTTTACACTTAATAATGATTAATTACCTTACTAATTTTGGATAATTTCCAAAATGCCAATCTAATTCAAAAGAATATAAAGTTGCAATGGGAAAATGTCCTGCATTTAGCCAAACTCAAGGTTAGACAAAAGTAGAGGATTAGCAGATTTATTAAATAAGTCAATCACACTGAAACTTAGGAAAGAATAGTGACTTAACGCATTCGATATCTATTAGTCTCATGTACTTCTCCAAGTTCCCCCTTGAAGTTAAGTTCAATGACAAAATCTAAATCTCTGTTGTTTCGTGGGTTTGGTTTCATAGTGAAGACTCCTTGGATTTCTTCATTCTTCTTAACAGTCATATAATCTTCAAAATAAAACACAGTTTGTTTCCAGTGTGTATATGGAGCATCTGGGGCAGTGGTAAAACCAATTCGTTTATGGCATTTTGTAAATTCCACAGTGAAATATGTAACCAATGCTTGAATGTAATCATTCCTTCTAACTGTAAGCATAAAGGGTGCACTGAAATCCAAATCTTCTTTTTTGACAGTGTACAAGTCTACTTCTTTAATTAAAGCTGGTCCTGTAACTACTTGTTTAGGATCAACTACATCTACGAGAGGCTCACTTATTGCCACTTTGCGAATGGAACTCATGTCAAAACCATAAACATCATCCCACCAATTTATCTTCTCATCTTTATATTGACGATCTTCTATGGCAGTTACAAATAATGAGCAACGGTCAGGAAACAAGAGCCCATCAGGTTGTAACCACTTATCACGTGCAAATAGAACTGTGTCCAGCATACTCTCATAGAACAGGCAGTAACCCATCCATTCTGAAATGATGATATCAACTTTTTCTATTCCCTCAGGTAATGTTATTTCTTCTACTTTGCCTTTGACAATTGTAATGATGTGATCTAATTTGTTAGCTTCGATTATTTGCTTAGCATAGTCCACTATATTGGAGCACTCAACAGCGAGTACCTTCTTTGCACCTGCTTTAGCCGCAAACATACTAAGAATGCCTGTACCACAGCCAATGTCCATGACTACTTTCCCAGCGAATAGGTGTTTATTGTGGTACATCGAATTTCTGTATGTAAGCGTTCTAACCTCATCTTTTAACATTTCTTCATGGATGCCGAAATGCGCGTACGAATCGAAGTAATAATCTCTGGAAGTCATCTCATCTGCAGGAATATCTTCCATTTTTTCGGGTTTGGTAACATGATTGTTCAATATTTGGGCCGTTGCTGCTACTTCCATGGTCTCCATTTGACAAGGCGAGTCGTTCTGCAATGTAAAATGCGAATTTTCACCCGGCATTTTTTTTTAACACGTGCAATAGGATACTACTTGTAAAGAGGTTAAGTTGTTTAATGATAGCTAGATTAAGTGGGGTTGTCTATATGATAGTGGATGAGAGATAAAAACTAATTTTACCTTTAAACTATTCACAGAAATAAATGCTTTTTGCTTAGCTCTTGGCGCCCAACCATATACGATTGTTTGACTTTTTAGAAAGAATTTGACATGTGTATATGTCAAGCGCATCGTTTAACGATCAGGGCTGACAACGACAAGTTGTGCCAATCGCCAATAATGTAAAGAACTATTTAAAACCATCTGTTAAAACAAACGACATGCGACAGCCCAGCTCAGTGCTACACTTTCGATGCAAAGGAAAAGACCTATAATCGTTTCTCCACGAGCGTGAGAGAAAAGTGCGTTAATTTAAAATCAAGTTTCGGCATCACATACTTTGATTTTCTTTTACTATACGGAGAATGGTCGCACTGCGCAGCTTTCTGAGTGCCTTTTAAAAGGAGATAGAAAACTCCGCCATTTTGAACCCTTATTACGTGTTGCCTACATCTTGGCGCAATATTTTTAATAGGTGCGTTTTAATCATCCGCTTCTGCTTCGGAATTGTCAGTTTTCTTGTTTTAATCTGACAGGTTAAAACGACTAAACCGACAATTCCGGAAGCAGAAGCGGATGATTAAAACACACCTGATATTTTGCTTGCTGCTGTCAGTGTCAGTGAATATTATTTTTGAAGTCACAGTTTATTGCTAAAGAATCAGTTAGCTCACTCGGATCAGTTAAAAGTTCCAAAATAACATCCACTCCAGGGATACAAATTCAGGATACGCAGAAGATTGCTGTTTTATTATAGGCGGTTGTCATATATTGTATTATCCGAGTTGCGCAGTGTATAAACTGAAACATTGAGATCCAAAGTGCCGACGCAGAGTGAGCGATCTGATTCTTTAGCTGTAAACTGTGTCACAGGGTTCAAAATGGCCGCGCCCTATGTTGGGCGTGTCGGACCTCTCTCTTGCCTCGTATAGTAATCAAAGTATGTGTTCGGCAACTAAAGTAATAGGTCTTTTCCTTTGCATCGAAAGTGTAGCACTGAGCTACACCACTTCTGAAAATATCGTTCCATTTATACAAATTGTATAGATGGAACGATATTTTCAGAAGTGATGTATCTCAGTGCTACACTTTCGATGCAAAGGAAAAGACCATAGATATGGAAAAGACCTAATATGTGCAACTCGATATTGTGACTATCTGTTGATAGATGGCACCAGTATTGCAATTTACGAATTATGGCCATCTTCCATCCAATATATTTTTGAGAAATTTAGATATAATCTCAAAATCGGACATTTTCAACGGTATGTATATTATTTGTCCGATATTAATGTAAAATACATATTGACAAGATTATTAAAATAGTTGTATGCCGGACGCACATACTTTAGGTGTTTTCCAGCGGTATTCTGGTTTGAAAATTTTTCGTATGTTTGGAACTGAACGTTTTCCAGCGTTGAAACGGTGACGTCATCAAGAACCGGGTTTAAATTAGGTTCTTGAAAATTGAACCGTGCTTTAGCTAGACGCAGCATGGAGGCAGGGTTGACAATCGTACGGTAATTACCGTACTTGTGCGGTAATTTCTATTAAAAGGTTTGTTCTGGTTCTCAAAATGAAAACTGTTTTGAAACTGTGCGGGACCGTATGCGTAAAGACTGTTTGAAATTGTTGGAAAACCAGAACACGTAAAGGTGTTTTGTTTATTGTTTATTATAATAATGAAGTTCCTTTTGAAAGCTCAACTTCAAATAACATTTGTATGTATATGTTTATCATTATCATCACATTTCAATGGAATAAATAAAAACAATAATATTAAAAAATTAATAATTCTAAAATTGCTTTAATTTACAAATAAAACAAGAACAAGAGACATTCGTCCACATATAAATAAACAATTTGGGCATTTGGGATTACATACGTTCCGTATGGTCTAAAAAGCCAATACAATATTCATAACACTTAAAAAACACATGCGCGGTCAAAACAGTTCGAGTCGATCCACACTCCCAAGCATGAACACATTTTGACTATTTACAACAATCACGGATTGGATACGAAACCAGAACACTGGACTGAGAGATCCGAAGTAGTCTGTAAAATGTATCTCTATTCATTCTAAATCACATACTTTGATTTTCTTTTTTCTAAATAAAGAATAAAAATCGGTATCCAAATAGTTCTGCAGCCACTGTTCATAATAATCCGGTATCCTAACATGAGGAGTATTAATGTTGTTTCAAATTAAACATAAACTTTCAATATCATCACTATTAATAACAAAATTTTTAATAGTAATAATCTGTTGTGTTAACTCATTTTCCTTGTCAATTATCATTAATGTTATCAAATCCATTTCAACTTCAAACTTCAACACAATACACAAAACAAAACAATTTTTACGTCATAGGTTCGAACCTTACGATTTCCAGCGTTCTGTTTAGTGACGTCATTTTGAATTAAGTTTAAAATAATGGTTCGAAAATATTTCACACTGGAAAACGACTTTTGATTACTATACGAGGCAAGAGAGAGGTCCGACACGCCCAACATAGGGCGCGGCCATTTTGAACCATGTGACTTCAAAAATAATATTCACACATTGCGTTCGGTTTGCCACGTTCCTTTAACTCCTTTAACACTTTTAACTCCAAACGACTCTTTTAGCGTTCGGTTTAGTCCGATTAGTGACAGTTTAACACGCTTAAATGTCATTTAAAAGCACCCTAAAATTTGTCGCGCTCCAGCCCCTGACTGACCGAACTCGCCTACTGACACTGACAGTAGCAAGCAAAATATCAGGTGCGTTTTAATCATCCGCTTCTGCTTCCGGAATTGTCGGTTTAGTCGTTTTAACCTGTCAGATTAAAACAAGAAAACCGACAATTCCGAAGCAGAAGCGGATTATTAAAACGCACCTATTAAAAATATTGCGCCAAGATGTAGGCAACACGTAATAAGGGTTCAAAATGGCGGAGTTTTCTCTCTCCTTTTAAAAGGCACTCAGAAAGCTGCGCAGTGCGATCATTCTCCGTATAGTAAAAGAAAATCAAAGTATGTGGCCGGACGCCACTATTTTCCGATCTGGTGTTTTCGGTTATTTTTACTGCTAAAAACTTACTGTTAACTTCACACCGGTGGTAATAGCTACCAAGCAATTACCTATTCTCACTATGTACAGGGTGTTCCATCTCAGACGAGCCACCCCGTATAGTTCTTATCCCATAGTAATTGGAAAAATTTCCCGAAACACGTCGAACACGTCTGATGATTTTCTTTGGGGGACATCTTTTGACGTATATATTTGAGGCTTGAACGAGCAACCCCCTATAAGGGGGCGATTCAACCCCTCAAAATTGAATAGGGAATAAGAGGCTTTACAACAGTGTATGAAAAAAATCACATTCTTAAAAAAAAAATAAATTGTTATTTTATCATGCTTACAATCAAAAAAATCAAGACTGCGTTTTTAAATGAAATGTTCAATTTGTCTTTCATTGTCAATATGTATTTTACATTAATATCGGACAAATAATTAATATACGTACATATTTATACAATGTACGTACCGTTGAAAATATCCGATTTTGAGATTATATCTAAATTTCTCAAAAATATATTTGATGGAAGATGGCCATAATTCATGAAATGCAATACTGGTGCCATCTAGCAACAGATAGTCACACTATCGAGTTGCACATATTACTTGTAGAGGCCTCAGATAAATAAATAAATAATAGATACAGCCCTATCATGCAATATTTGTAACCAGCATCTCCTCTCACTATATAGCAGTGGTTACACGACTTGATTGGATATTCGCTATTTTGGTTACACACCTGATTGGTTAGCAAAAAATTGACAGGACTACGTTAGTCAAGCCTTGGTTTCTTTGAACACTTCGTCGCGGTGAGCGGACAGTCCGTCAATCGTCGCGTTTTGACGATTTTATCCAACCAGAGTATTTAAATGGGAATGGTTTTCTTGAATCCGCTTAGCTGAACAGGACGGCGTCATGCCGCTGATTTGTCGCGAAGAGTCGGTTTATATCTGTTGAGTTTGATATCAGCGGAATCGTCGGCGTGTGCGGAGACTATATTGTTATTAATTTTAAAACAATGAGTGACAAATTCACACATACAGATGACATTATGACTTTATTTTTAGGTTTCTTGGAAATTATGTCCTTTATAAAACTCAACACGAAATCAAAAAGATCTGTAGAAAGTCTAAAATACTCCCTAAATTTGGTTTCATTTCCAAAAAGCCTCCGCTGCACAGTGATATTAAAGGCACCTTCTGTATCGCGATACAAAAACAACTCATTCACTGGCTTATTGGAAACTTTGACGGTTGCAATTGCCAGTTCCTCTTGTTCTTCCTCTTCCAACAATAATAACAATGCAAACAATTTATTTGCAACCATTTTAGTACCTTTCGTTTACATTCATAATACATAAACAGCACGTACAGACATAGAGAAAGTATCATTTTCTATATTTTTTAACAAACCACCTCGGGCGAAAATTGCTGTCCTCAGCGGTCGACGGACTGTCCGCTCACCGCAACGGAGTGTTCAAAGAAACCAAGGCTTTAGGTTAGTTATTTTATGGTTATTTTGTGGTTCATTTTGAGTTTATTTCGTACTTTAATTGAAACATTTTTGTGGTTTAAGTTATTTTAGTGCATTTAATTGCTTAAAAATTCCAGTGAATTGTATTGTGTGCTCGAGAAAGTATCTCAAATTCAGTTCGATAACGTTTCATAGGTAAGTAAATAAAAACCATTACCGTTGCATCACACTTTTTTGAGGGGTATCATAATTCAAAATAAGGTTTAAACAACAACAATTTATTTTAAAGTTTAAAATAAAATTCAACGTCGAATTTCGAATTATTTTAATGTGCCTTTGTTTAATAACTTTGAATTTATTAATAGGCTATCTTTAAATTAAAGTTATATTGTTATGCACACTGTACATTTAAGAAGGCTCTAGTGGCATTTACTTTAGTTATAAAATCTTAGTATTGCTTTATTTTAATGACAAAATATATTGTTAGAACACCATAGTTATTTTAAAGTATACTATGTTGCATTTCTGTATTACATGAAATCCTATATACCTACCTATATGAATAAGAAAACACTATTTATACCTATTTAGGTTTCCAAAAGATCCTCAAACTAGATATATGTGGATGAAGAGTTTGGGTATACGTGAGGATGAAGAGTGTATTCAGTAGAATTTGTTCAAGACATTTTGAGGATTCTGCCTTTGCTAAGTCTCCAGGAGGAAAAATGTTTTTAATGAAAGGAGTAATGCCCTTATTTTACTCACATCCTGAAGCTGTTCCTCAACTGGAAACTATGTCACATTCTAAACCTTCTACATCTAGTGAGTATTTGAACAAAAACTATAAATAATAAAAATGTTTTTTGTCTTTGTTTAATTAATTTGAATATTCTAAGTATTAGTACGGGAACCAATAAATTTTGTAATTTTTTAATTACCTATTCATATTTTAATAACACAATAATATATGTAATTATTATGATATGATTTTTCTTATTGTCTAAATTAAAATAGGTTTCATTTCAAAAACTTGCGTGAAATGACATTCCCCGGTGACAATCTCCGGCGAGTCGCCAGCTTTTTGGGCTTTCGCCGGCGGATCGCGAGATACGCCGAAATGAATCTCTGGCGAGTCGCTGGCGGTGGCGATCGACTATGCATACGGCTGTAAGTCTTTCAAAGTCATCCGTTTTTTCCACAGGTACAGTCTGAAGAACATCTAAAGCATCCCCTTGAAAGGCGATGCATTTACTGACTTTTCTCTTTCAAACGTCCACGACGAGATTAAAAAATAATTGGGCAGTGTAAGAACCGATAATTGGATCAATCTCGTAAGGCTAAGACACGCTAAGATACTTCTGGGTGAATATAACCAGGAAACCATGGTATGAAACATCGGAATCGGAAGCATGTGTGAGATCTGTATACCCATTTATAAATGGTAATGTTAGTACCCGTGACGCCATCTATGTTTCAGCTTCATATAAGTTTCTCCTTATATCACAGTCATCTGTAGTCTGTGACCCCGTAGGATTATAGATCGTACGTAGATGCCGCCACGAGTACTAAATAAGAGTCAGATGCGCATTGTCTTGTATTACAAGTTCGTATTTCATCTTGAGTTTTGTCTTGTATTATAACCATTACTGAATTACTGTGTTTATCAGAATACTAGAGAATAAAAGCTTACAACAAGGTGTTGTTTTATTGAGTAGTGTATAAATAAGGCATACATCACAGCCTGCATCTGCCTGAGCAAGAACAGGATTCTTATTGTAACAGGGATCCTTACCGGGCATTATCGACTTAAAGGACACCTTAGTAAACTGAGAGTAGTAGAGGATATTGAGTGCAGATTCTGTGAGGAGGAGGACGAAACCTCCATTCACATTCTAACTGAATGTGTAGTACTCCAGAATCCAAGGGCACCATACCTAGTAGGAGGATATCAAATAGAAAAGAGAGAGAGAGATTTACCTAACACGAAACCACTCCAAATCCTACACTTCCTTGGGAAGATAGGATTGGAAGGGTCGTTATAGGCATTGAGACATTTCCTTGGTGCATTAGCGACAGAAGGGGCACAATAGATCTTTTAGGTCGCAGTGTATTAACACCCCATCCCAACAACATCTCAAGTGAATGTATATTATATTTACTTATTATCACGTCTCATAATTAATTTCATTTGTAAATTGTGTGGTAGGAAAATTGTTGGGTTTTATTTATCTGTAGTTAATGAATATTAGTTTTAGTTATCTAGGTACCTGTCACATAATTATTTGATTTATAAATTAGGTATGTGAAAGGAAAATTGTTGGCAACTAAATTATTATAATCACCCCATTATCCATTATTAATTGTTATTAAACCAAATGAGTACAATAACACAACGTCTCTAAAAAATTGCTTAACGTTGTTCTATTTCTAACTGACAAGAATTCATCGAAATTAAGTTTTATTATTCAAAATATTGTGTATTAGGAAACCTTGGCAATATTTTAAAACGGTGTAATTATGAACTTATCATTTATTACATAAGTATCGCTTTATTATAAACTGTTATTATAACATTTGTCTTTGTTTCGTTTTCCAGATCTAATCCAACTATCTAATAAAATGAATTACATACCTATTATAAAAATTGTTTTTTTAACCCTACTTTCCCAATTATTAAAAACCATAAATATTTTGTGCACAAAATTTAATTAACTTAAAAGGGACTAACAATAAACAGATACTGGGGTCCTTTATATTAACGGCCTTTAAAAATATTGACGGCCTATAAAAATATGTTCGTATTCGTTAATTTACTTCTGTCATTATTTAAACAGATTTCTTTAAGATAGTCCTCTAATGTATTTTAAAGATCCGTTTAAATAATGACAGAAGTAAAGAAGAAAATATTTTTAAAGGCCGTTAAATATAAAGGAATTGTTACAGAATAGACTCCACTTTATTCTATTTTTTATTACATATATAAGCGGTACTCATAACAAATCAATAAAAATAATTTACAAAAGAATCGATATTATTAAAAAATATTAGTACAAAAATTTAGAATTTATAAAACCTATCATTGCAACGTTTGTTCAAATTATTTGTGTATAAAAATAATGTATGTTTTTAATTTAAAAAATATATGTATTGGTCGACTGAAAAATTCATTTTTGACGGTTTTCTATAAACATCTCATATTAGAAACATTGATCATTGAAATATCTCAAAACTAATAAAATAATATAAATCAAAAGCATTTCTATTGACATTTATTTGATACGCTACTGGATAATAAAACTAACAAACCCCGCTCTTCCCCTCCTAACAACTGGCTTGTATATGTTGCTTTCAAACAAACGCAATGTAAATTTTTGACATTCAGCGTAGTTATCTATTATTATTTATTTATCTGAGGTAGAGGCCGAAACTTGATTTTAAACTAACGCACTTTTCTCTCACGCACATATTACTCACGTTCAGGCCTCGCAACGAAATCGAGACAGGCGCAATGAACTGGAGTGGGGTAGAAAGCTAATGTGCATATAGGGTATGGTCTGTGGTGCATATTTTATCAATTGAACAAGATATGACTCTATGGGCGCAGCCATTTTTATTTCTCATCTCACTCGGGAGTATTTATAATAACCATTTTCTGTTTCACATTGTTATTGTTCAATCCACAGGCTGGTGGATCAGACAATAACAAAGTGAAATAGGAAATGGTCGTTATAAATACTCCCGAGTGAGATGAAAAATAACCTGTCTTCGCCCATAGAGTCGCATCTCAAGCCTATTGACAAGCATTCTACCCCACTCCAGTTCATTGGACAGGCGTAACAGAAAAGCTACAAAAAAGTTACAAAAAATGAGCCGGGTTCGGGCTGGTGCCGCTACAAATATCCGCTAAGCTAGCGGATCCGCGCTTTTCTCAGGTTCAGTACAAGCTACATAAGGGAGACTAGCGTAACAAAAAAGCTACAAAAAAGTTACGAAAAACCAGCTGGGTCGAATCTGTGCCGCTACTATGCAATTTATGGAAATTCAAGCTAGCGCATCCGCTGTTTTTTCGGACCTGGGCAAAGCTACAAATTCGCAAATAGCGTAACAAAAAAGCTACAAAAAACCCACCAGCAGGGTTATTCTACTAAATTTATAGCCCGGCTACAAGTTGGATTTTGGCTTGAACTTTATATGTTCCTAACTTCAAAATCCAACTTGTAGCCGGGCTATAAACTTTTAGCCGGGCTATAAATTTAGTAGAATAACCCTGCAGGTCTTGTATGGTGCCGCCACAGAGTGCCCGCTAGCTTGATATAGCCCCCAAGTCCGACTCAGCTGAGTTCTGTTTATAAATACGGAAATACGGACCTAAAGAGTATTATACCATTAATAATAATAAACAGAAGAATGTATGACATGAAGTTGTTACATTCATAAAATATAAATTTGAGGTTATAGATAGAGTTTTGAACTCAAGCTACAAGCTATTTGACCTAAAAACATAGCTTAAATAAGATTTTAATGATTTTTTATTATAAACTTTGACCTTTGCTACTTGTTCATTTATACACTGTTTTAAATCTGTACAAAATGAATGGAGAATCCATTAATGTACATGAAGAAAGAGTCTATTTTAAATCCGTAATTTCTACATTTAGAAGCTACAGGTAACTATGCACTAATTGCATTTCAAACTACAATTAAAATGACGTTTAAATAATGACTTTTGCAGAGAACAATCCTTACTCAGAATCGAACACAAAGAAAAATGTCTTGAAAATCTACCCTACCATCATAAACAATGGTTACAGAAGTATAAAGAAGATCTCGATGAGATAAAGAAATGCATAACAAAGAATTCTGATTTTATTCCATTAGTTTTATGTCAAGCACATTGTATATTTGGAAATGTTTATAAGGACGAACAAACTTCTCATTCAGAACAAGAAGTAGGCACTTTGTCAGAAGGCCTAGATAAAGTAAGTTTTGCATTTTGAAATGCAGGATGTTTCAAAGTTGTACTTCATTATTGTGAGATGTGACAGAACATGTATAAAGAAATAAGTAAAGTATAACTCAAAAATATAATTCTCAGTTTCACAATTTCAGTGAACATATAGATTTAAGTATAAGTGGTAACTGATGTATTGAAATTTTATTATGATTCTAGAAAACTTATATTTATGTAGGTATTTTTGTTTGATGGCACCATGTCAAAAAATGGTTATTTAGGAAAAAACTTCTCACATATAAATTCAATTTTTTAATAATAACTTAAATTAGATAACAAATTAAAATTTTCTACATTATAAGATCGCTGTTTCACAATTTTCATAACCCTTTTGTTCACTTTATAATTCATTTTGTGACTAAGTTTAAATTTTATTTTGGCCAGTATTAGGTAGGTATATTAAAATGTTCTATTTATATCCTTACTTTACAAAATACTTAAAATATGGTTAAATTATGTGATCCTGATTTTGATTTACATAATGTAATTTCATAATTTTTGTTTATTTTTATATTTGATTATGGAAAAAATACATTCAAAATATTCTATTTATAAATTAAAGAAAGTAAAAGATAAAACAAATACATTGAGTAACTTATCACAATTTTAAATAGAATATTAAAATAATAAACAAAAAAGAAAAGAATTTAAAGAGCTTTACAATTATTTATAGCTGATTTCAGGAATGTTCATTACAATTTTGTAGGTTAAACTTTGACAGATGTTTAGACTCTGACTAATTTTAAGTTAATGCAATTCAGATATATCACAATTTCAAGCTCTTTAAAAATGTATCCAACTAAAAATGTAAATGAACGTTCTTGCAACCTGCTGTTAGTTTGCAACCTAATATAAATAATCAGGCATTCTTTATGAATGTAGCCAATCAGAAATATGGTTGCCACTTTTTTATTTCCCAATATCCAGACATGATCGATCCAAGCTAGGGGATATATACATGTACATACCTGCTTCATTATTATTTATTTAGAAAAATAAAAACCTCGCTTAGTTGTAGGTTGTACCTTCATATTTGCTTTTAAATTAAAAGAATTAAAAAATTAAAATAATACACTTATTAAAATTTAAATTTTTACACACATTATTTTACATTTTAAAAAATAACAACATTATTAATTTACCTATAACTAGGTAAGTATGTTATTTAAATTAAACAAACAATAAAAACAGGCATCTTTTCCTATTTTTTAACGTCTAGGTAATTTGCAAAGTAGATAATGAAAAAATAAAAATTTATAATAAAAATATAAATAAAACGAGGAACAAAACATATTAGACCAATTGCACAATTTTTTTTATAAAAAATTAAATTACATTAAAAGCAATAATTTATACAAGTACCTATTACTAAAAAAATTATAATTTAGTGTAGCGCCTTTTAATACATAAACACAACAATTTAATGAAATAAAAAATGTCCAGATATTTCCGGACATTTTCATAGTGCAACTGGCCACCGGACAAACCTTTAAAAAAACCAGACAGTCCTGGTGAAATCCAGACAGTCTGGGTGAAACCAGACAGTCCAGATGAAAACCAAACAGGTGGCTTCCTAATCAGAAATAATGGTACCCACATTGAACAGGCAATAATTTGGTATAAAAATGTAAATGTAAATTTTTATAATTTACATTATTATACTTAATTATTTTATATTATTCTTTTAACAACTTGATTATTGAGATCCAAAAAACTGAAATGCAACTATGAAAATGCATAATCCCCAATTCCTCTACGAAGTTATGAAAAATACACCCCCATATCACCAACGTGAAAACAAACAAAAAAAAAAATGAAAAAACTGAGAATTTAAAGAAATAGTTACTGGTAATTTGGACTCCAAAATACAAAAAACATAAACTTCTAAATACTTGGGTATAATTATAGGCCAACATCTAAACTGGGACTCTCATATATCATATCAAAAAGTTTAGATTTATAATCTATAAATTTTATCTTTTAAAACAATTTCTCAACCAAAATCTCTTGATAAGCCTATATTTTAGCTTGGTAGAATCTATTCTACCTATGTTATGTTATACTAGTATGGGGAGGCCTATATGAAACAACCCTTAGACCACTAAATGTCATACAAAATAAAATACTGAAAATTATTTTCAACAAATAGCAATTATATCCTACTATTATATCCTACTATTCTACTATACAGTGAGCATCATAAGTCTTACCCCCCCCTAACTAACTCGTTACTGGGGCCTTGTTAGGAAAATCGCCGAGACAGGTCGATTTTTGATTTCTACAATGTACATTTTTGCATGATTAGTTTACCCTTAATTTCATCTCTTACTGGAGGGTAGCAACCCTTTTGAAAAATTTAAATGGCATGGGGTGGTGAGTGATAGCTCATTTGAAAAGGGGTTTTATTCTCTATTCAACCGTACAAAAAATTTTGAAATTTGCTTCATTACGTGTTGATTTATTAATGTTTAAAAATAACAAAACCTCACAAAATAGGGAAGCAACTAGACTAACAGTGACCTTCTAATGGCAATAAGGCTTACTTCACGTCTGAACCAAAACCGAAGTGATGCAGGGCCGAATTTTAATTCTAAGGATGAGTGCGCTACGTTAATTTCCGTTATTCTGAAACAACAATTAGTCGAGAATTAATGAAGCAAATTTCAAATTTTTTTACACGGTTAAATAGAGAATAAAATCCTCTTTCAAATGAGCTATCACTCACCACCCCATGCCATTTAAATTTTTCGAAAGGGTTGCTCCCCTCCAGTAAGGGATAAAATTAAGGGTAAACTATTCATACAAAAATGTACATTGTAGAAATCAAAAATCGACGTGTCTCGGCGATTTTCCTAACAAGACTCCAGTAACGAGTTAGATAGGGGGGTAAGACTTAAGGTGCTCACTGTATAATGAAACAATATCTAATGTTAGAAGTTTATGCATGAATACAATATGCTGTTACATACAAAAACATGAGGTATTCAAAAAATCTCTGGGTCATCAACACAAAACCAGAACCTTTAGTAACTTGAATATTAAAATATCTATGCCTAATAGTGAATCTTTCAAGAATTGAGATCGAATTAATCAACAAACAACATTCATTTAAGAAAGCGTGCAAATCCTTCATCTTCCAAAACTACTCAAGATTGTATAGATTCTTCTTAGAATAACACACATCTCACTGTAATATGTTGAACCCCTGTAGATTACATGATTATTACATCTATATAATTATATAAATGCGAAAGTTTGGATGGATGGATGGATGTATGTTTGTTGCTCAATCACGCAAGAACGGCCGAACGGATCTGGATGAAATTTGGCACAAATATAGATTATAGCCTGGAATAGCACATATGCTATTTTTTATCCCGAAAAAATGTACGGTTCCCGTGGGATCGATTTGTTTTTGTTTTTCAGCGTTTTTGCACAGTGGTAGTTAAACATGAAAATTTGAAATACTGCTAATGAGCATAAATAAATAATCACGTGTTTCAGGGTTCCTGGGGGAAACAAGGGTTAAAAGTTTGCATGGAAGCATCGATTTTTTTATAGGTAGGAACTTGAAAATTGGAATTATAGCTACTCATCACAAATAAATAAAGGTGTTTGAGGTTTTTGGATTTTCATATGTAAAGAGGGGAAAGAGGGAAAATGGGGGTAAGAGGGGAAATAAGGAAAAGAAGGAAAATGGGAGAAAATGGGGAAAATTGGAGAAATGTGATGAGTGAAAGTTTGTATGGTAGGAACTTGAAAATTGGAATTGTAGGTACTCTTCAAAAATAATTAGACGTGTTTCAAAGTATTTGGATTTTACATATTAAGTGAGGAAACGGAAGATGAAAGTTTGTAAAAGACTTTCGGTTTTTTAATTGTAGAAATTTGAAAATTGGAATTGTAGCTACTCACCATAAGTAAACAATGACGTATTTCAAGGTTTTTACATTTTAAGAAGGAAGAAAATGAGGAGTTTCGTAAAAATAAAAATGAAAAAAAAAAACAAAAAAAAAATAAAATAAAAAATAACTAAAAATAAATAAAAATAAATAAATAAAAACAAATAAAAATAAATAATAAAAATAAATAAATAAATAAAACTAAATAAAAAAATTAAAAATAAACAAAACTAAATAAAAATAAATAACAATTAAAAATAAATAAAAATAAATTCAAATTAATAAAAATAAATAAAAATAAATAAAACTAATAAAAATAAATAAAAATAAATAAAAATAAATAAAAATAAATAAAAATAAATAAAAATAAATAAAAATAAATAAAAATAAATAAAAATAAATAAAAATAAATAAAAATAAATAAAAATAAATAAAAATAAATAAAAATAAATAAAAATAAATAAAAATAAATAAAAATAAATAAAAATAAATAAAAATAAATAAAAATAAATAAAAATAAATAAAAATAAATAAAAATAAATAAAAATAAATAAAAATAAATAAAAATAAATAAAAATAAATAAAAATAAATAAATATAAATAAAAATAAATAAAAATAAATAAAAATAAATAAAAATAAATAAAAATAAATAAAAATAAATAAAAATAAATAAAAATAAATAAAAATAAATAAAAATAAATAAAAATAAATAAAAACAAATAAAAATAAATAAAAATAAATAAAAATAAATAAATAAAAATAAATAAAAATAAATAAAAATAAATAAAAATAAATAAAAATAAATAAAAATAAATAAAAATAAATAAAAATAAATAAAAATAAATAAAAATAAATAAAAATAAATAAAAATAAATAAAAATAAATAAAAATAAATAAAAATAAATAAAAATAAATAAAAATAAATAAAAATAAATAAAAATAAATAAAAATAAATAAAAATAAATAAAAATAAATAAAAATAAATAAAAATAAATAAAAATAAATAAAAATAAATAAAAATAAATAAAAATAAATAAAAATAAATAAAAATAAATAAAAATAAAT